AATTATAAGAAATGTCGTAACTTTACGAGGAAATTTTTCACAGTGTATTTGAAAGAATTTCGTGACAAAAGATAGATCAAATGCCGTTTGAGTATTGCGTTGGGGCAGATGCGTGTGATCATGCTGCGGCGGTCGTTTGTAGGTACACGATTCTGAAGATGAGTGTAGAGTGCAGGCCCAAAGGGCAGTCCCCGACAACCATCCTAAGGCGACGAAGGGCAAGTAGGTTTTCGTCTTTTGCTTCAAATGAGTTGACCCTTAAATCACAAGCCCCGTGCGAGGACCGGGCAATGCAGCGCACGCACTCACGCACAGCAGACGTAAACGCACACACATGGGCACGCAGACGCACGCGCGGACACACACACACACAATGCCAGGAAGAAGGTCAGCTGCTTGTCTGGAGGGTGAATCCCCCCTGCAAACCTTGCCGCCTCGGCTCCCCCCTCCCACTGCATCGTCGCCAGACCCCGCCACGCCCCGCCACGCGGCGGCCGGTCAAGGCACTCACAAAGCCTCTTGTCACAGCCTCAACGTAACTTAAGCCATGACAACCACGACGCGAAGTTTTCAGCGCAAGGGGAAAGAGGGGATCGCGAACGTCACGAGCATTGGGGCATTGGGGTGGGGGAAGTGGGGGGAGTGGGCGCTGAGGCTAGGGGAGCGATCCTGCCAACGTCATAATAACATGTCGACATGTCCGCGCGTCAGTCCAAAACATCAAATTGAATGGACCGGCCAACTAGCCGAGATGTTTATTTGTATTCCTCGCAGGAGCGCGCAGGAGCGTGGTGTGTTGTAGCCCGCCCCGCCCCAAACCTTTCCTCCCATCAGCGTGTGCCCAAACCGATTTCGTCCCCCCCCCCCCCACCAGTGTTCCGCATACATGGCCTTTTTCCATCTTTCTTCATGGCGCCCCATGGCGTCCCTTTGTTTCTCTTGCCTTCCAGCCGCACAGATGCACAAAATAAAACGTAAACGAAACGATCGATATTCCATGAGGACCGCAGAGAGCGCAGGCGGCGGTGGCGGCGGCCCCTCCGCCCACCAACCTCTGCTGTTGCTACCCCTTCTCTCAGCCCCAGACTCCCCCCCCCCTCTTTCCTTCTCTAAGAAAATCCACTTGGCTGTCACACGGCCGGGTTGGGAAAGGAAAAGGGAAGGGGGGGGGGGGGCAGCCCAAAAATATGAATAAAACAGCAAGACGGTCATGGCAACCCCAACCAAGCGACTTGGTGTACGCTCCATTTGGCCGTCCCGTCCTGACACGTCCCAACACCTAGCAGACTGCTGTCCCGCCAAAAGCTCCTGCTGCCCCCTTGTCAACTTTATATTGTATATCTCTGGCCGCACTCGGCTGGCGGCGTGACGGACTGTGGCTGTATGGCAGGGGCGGGAGAAGGCTCCAACGGGCAAGAAAATAAAACTACAGTTTGTCTTGACGTCACACGGGTGTTGTCGTATTCAAAATAACGTCAAAAAACAAAATTGTGTCTTTCTGTTGTTCTTTTTAAAATAAATCAGAAATCTAATCTGCGCAACTTTAAAATAAAAAGAAGGCAAATAAATTCAAAAGAAGGAAGCACGCAGCCGTTGCTGCAACAGGGCTCCTCATTGGCTGCATCTCGTGGGTGGGTCCAGTTCACGACACTACACACACCGGCTGACCTTGGAGGGGG